GATCGTTTAGTATCTCTTATGTCAACATAACGGCATTATTCACAATTCCCGACTCTGCGTCAACTGTCATTTCATTATTTGCATAATGTTGTTTTTAATCACATTTATATCTTCGAAAGGTGCATATGATTATGATACCTGGGATAGAGATGAAAGATTCACTGAGGGACGCTTATAAATGCGCTCTCGACCACAACCTCAGCAAACATGTTGCGAGGCTGACGTCACATGGCATTGTTTCGGCGGCGTGTTGCCAAATATACGTCACAGGGTATTATGACGTTATTTGCGGAGCTGTGAGAGCTCCCAGTTGTGAGACACATTAATTAATGGTTCAGTGCACATAGGTGGTGTTTCCACATCCCTACAATGAAAATAGGATCAGCCCAGTTGTTGAAGAGTACCAACAGGAGTCATTGAATTGGGATTGGTGAGCAAGCATTACTGCTTATGTTAACACGGCTCCCATGCAACATAAAATACAACATGAAATGGAGGATGTGACGTCATCGATATTGACTATTGCATAAATATATTTTTAAGCATACATCAAATACAACTATTTTCTAAGTAGTCATAATTAGAGATTACAGTTGTGTGTGTCTAACAAGCTATTGTAGGAATATAAATCAATCATGAGAAGGTTGATGAGTTAATTTAAGTATTTTCCTGAGAAAATTTGAAGCGTTGTGTCTTGATGATATGATCGTGGACAGATTCAACTATTTTCTGGTTTACACAAGGAGTAAATTCTATGTTTCCGTTCAAAATGGTATCCAGGTTATAATGGGGAGTGCCGGGTCAAAAGGATTTTGGCTTAAGAGGCAGTTCGACTATAAACTTGTATTTCAGAGTTATTTCTTAAACTATATCTTGTAGTTCCGGAAAAGGATGTAAATCTGAGTAGGTAAATTAATTTCTCTTTCAAATGATCACGAAGTTACCTACACAAAGTGTATGTTAATCAATTTATCTTAGTAAGTTTCATTAAGACTTCCACAAGATTCAGTTACATAGCAAATCAGTAATTAGCTAGGGTGAATCCATTTTATCAGACAGGGGAGTATGGTGTGTGTTTTTTGTTAATTACCTACTCCACTGTCTCATAACTGGGAGTCTCACAATTGGGAGTTCTCACAAATGGGAGTAGACCGACAGGACTCGACCTGGGTGCCGTTCCACTAACCGATCTTAGCCCTATGCCAATCGTAAACCCCTAAAATCCCAATCTTAGCGTGACGTTAAGATCGGCATACCGTTCCACTAACCAATCTTACCCAAGTCAATCGTAAACTTAAGATCCAAAGTCTAAGTTGCTCATGACCAACTTAGGATAGCTAAAATCAATCGTAGAGAAACCAAAATGGTGGCTTTCCTATTCTATGTGAAGAAGAAGAGCGAGCATTTCACCGTGAGCGTCCCCCTAAAACCCCCCATGAAATGAATTTGTTTATTTCTGTGATGTAAACAAACACTGCACTGTAGCGCAGTTGGGAATATTGTATTGCAATATTGTTGTGCAAATGTGTCACACCGACTCGCTCGGTTGTGTTCCCATGACGACAGTGGTCAGACTGGCCTGACATTTGTAAGGCTTCAGTGCAGTGTTTGTTTACATCACAGAAATAAATTTTCCGTTGTTATGTCATGTTACCGAGCGGAAAGCCACTGATATCGGGAAATAGGCAACCATACATATTATTTAAGAAATCTTTTTATAATATTTTTGATGACGTAAAAATGAAAATATAAAAGAAAAAGGCACTGGCATGTTATGACATGTCACAAATGGAAAAAAATCGCCATAGTTTTTTGAATAACATTATAAAAATAAACTTCATATTTATCAACAGTAGGATTTTAATTTCCTTCATAAACATAGGCTTCATCTATGACCTCAGAGTCTCGATAGTAAAGAAAGATATCAAGGGGAAGTAACTCGGTGCATATACTGTGGTTTCAGCAGTACGAACGTTTCACTATCCGAACGTTATTTTTTAAAAACCAAAGTGTTCGTATTAACGAGGTCTGACAGTATACAAATTCATTTCATGGGGGATCGTAGGGGACGCTCACGGTGAAATGCTCGCTCTTATTTTACACATAGAATAGGAAAGCCACCATATTGGTTTCTCTACGATTGATTTTAGCTATCCTAAGTTGGTCATGAGCAACTTAGACTTTGGATCTTAAGTTTACGATTGACTTGGGTAAGATTGGTTAGTGGAACGGTAAGCCGATCGTAACGTCACGCTAAGATTGGGATTTTAGGGGTTTACGATTGGCATAGGGCTAAGATCGGTTAGTGGAACGGCACCCAGCATGTCTGAGACCAACATTTTATGCAAATGTAAAATCAAAAACAAATATGAGAGATAATTATTTCTGTTCGAAAAAATACTTTAAAAGCATAGGAAAGTAACCATTGTTATACTTCCTCCGACAATGCGTTTGGGATCACCCGCGGAGTTTGCATACATTTTTTTTATCAGTTTTAATATTAAAACACAAAACTAAAAAATACACAGTACACTATAAGCCCATGTACTTGTGCAAAGTGTCTGACTAAGTGGGTTTGAACACCCCATTTCATTATATTGCAGCGATATCTTGACGTGTCAGCTGAATATAAAGTCCGAAGTCATGCGGGTATCTGACGTTTAGCATATGCACTTTAATGAAATCCAGTCCCTTGACAACTTGATAAATATTACTAGATTTTGCAAGGTTTTCGAAGGGAAAAATGGGAAATATTATATAAGTAATAATCTTGATCGGACAATAAACCCTATTTCACCTCACCTATTCACAGATCTGTTGTGGGTTTTTTTCACATTTTTTAATATATATTTTATTTGTTCTTTAACTCCGCACTCAGCGATATTCCAGCTATATGGCAGCGGTCTGTATAATCGAGACTGAACCAGACAATGCAGTGATCAACATCATGAGCATCGGTCTACGCAAATGGGATACGGTGGCATGTGTCAACCAAGTCCTGTAGAGAAGTGGCTTGCATCTTACAAATATTTTAAACAAACGTTTCAGATTAAGGTACGCAGTACTACAGTTAATTTGGGTATTGTAAAAGGAAGATTCTTGTCACTAAAACTTCCTTGATATCTATCCTATCAGTAAATCGTGACTAAAAGATGCGTGTCGCTTCTTGTTGATATGTATGCTCATATTTTGTGATTAATGAAAGAATAATCTACTTAATTCAACCGAGCTTGTCGTCTCATTCGTTACTGACAGATACTGTGGACATCACCTGACTTCTGAGGAAAGGGCTACCAGAACCAGTAAGGCAGCACCGAGTGCCCGTGAAGGACATTGTCTATGAAGTTTACTTCCCAATGAGCGCGCTTATAGTTATGCGCGCGGGAAATACAATTTCGACACGCGGTGTATTCTACTTCCTCAGCGACGACCTGTCACGTGATATGACGTCATCACAATCACACCCCAGAGGCGTGGTTAGTTGTCCAAGCTCCGCGCATGTAGCAGCATTTAGTAGCAGTGTAACAGTTGATATTTACAAAGTACAGACCTGGAATTGATTTCAGAAGATTCCATGTGCATCAGTGTATTGCCACTACAGTGGTAAGTATTGTTCAGTAAAGTGTCAGAATTCCCTAAATATTCAATATCTTAAATTCATATGTTGGCAATGAAGATCCGTATGAAATGCAAAAAAAAGTAGAAACGCGACTTTAAGAAGATGCCAAAGGCCAAATTTGATTAATTCATTAAAGTATTTGTATGTTTTAGACGAGATATTTTTATTTCCTTATATATGCTACTGTACGTCCAGAAGATCTGGGCTAGAACTGGTCTTCAGAAACCCATGCTTGTCGTAGGAGGCGACTAACGGGATCGGGTGGACAGGCTCGCTGATTTGGTTGACACATGTCATCGTATCCCAGTTGCGTAAATCGATAATCATGATGTTGATCACTGGATTGCATGATCCAGACTCGATTATTTTACAGACCGCCGCCATATAGCTGGAATATTGCTGAGTACGGCTTTAACAACAAATCAAAATACCAATGTACGTCGTGAGGAATTTATACGGCAGTATTTTCTGCTCTGCTTTGAAATATGTCAAACTGCACAAAAGCCAACGATTTGCTTGAATGGCCTTTGTATGTACAATATCAGTCCATATTTCCATGAATATCGTATGATTGTAACATCATGTAGAATTGTATTATTACCCTCATAGCATGCTGGATTGTAGCTGTTATTTGAAATATACAATACATGGTTAATCGGCGGTCATGTCTTTCATACTGTGTTTTGAAGACTGGTTTTCAGCTAAGTTTCGTTCCGATAAAGTTTGCAATTTTAAGTTTTCTAACTTTAAAGTGTATATTTTCTTAAGTCCGACAGTCTAGTCCATATGTTATATCTTGTAACATCATCTTTTGAAAGAAGGTAGTTTACAACATATTTTTCAAGTCTGCGACCAACATTTACGCAAATGTAAAGTAAAAAATAAGTATGAGAGGATTGTGTTTTTTCTTCGAAAGAATACTTTAAAAATATGAGAGAGTAACCCTTGTTACATGTTTCCCGTCATGTTTCTTTCTATATTTCCTCCGACAATGGGATCACTCGGTACCAAACCAAAAACAGATAGCATACAGCATGCAGTATTTCCTTGTACTTATATAATATATATGTTCAACAGATGGGTCGTTATCTACACAGATTAGCCGTGAGGGCAGGAACACAGGTCCTGTCCCCCATCCCGGAGTCGCCATCCAGGTCCCCTACCCCAGACAGTGGTGAGTGACATAGTCAAACACTGTGCAGCATATAAAGTCACATATAGTCTTATATAGGAAAACTGAAGGATATTAAACAGTAATAATGGATTAACTTTATACTGGCAGACTGAATACAGGTTTGTCGGGGGAAAAGAGACTGGATTCTTCTCTGTCTCCTTCTCTTTCTCCTTCATGAATGTTCCTTCCAAACCTTTCAGATGCTGACACTGGTAGTCAAGCCAAAGATGGCACAGAGACAAGTATGGCTCAGTCAGGTGCCAGTGATTCAGTTAAAAGAGAGGAAAGTCCAAAGAGGCAAACAATCAACGTAGAAGAGAGGTGGGTTGTCACATTATAAACGCAACACTCTCTGTTTAAAAGGCTGAACACATTTTATGACTTATGCTGAAAGAATCACATAAAGTCCATCATTTCCAAACTTTATATCATTGGTCCTGTTGCAGCTTCGTGGAGCATCTCATGAGCCTGAACGAGAACTACAGGCAGGAGCTGGAGGCCACAAAGAAAGAACTCCGCCTGGAGAGAGAGAGGAACAAACTGATTGAGAAAGATCTGAAACACTACCGGGCCGAATACAACAATTTCAAACTCAGCTGGACCATGGACCAGGCTGAGATCAACGACCTCAAGGCTCGAGTGCAGACATTGGATACTTACCAGAGGCAGATGAAGCGGATGAACGATACAATTACTCGCCTTGAGAGAGAAAATAACAAATTGAAGGCTCTCAGCTCTTTAGCTGATAGACAGATGCGTGTAAACGAGGAGACGAAAGCAGCAATGACCCCGAGGGCCCCCTCTCCTCCAGTTGAAAGGCACACACGAAGACGGCCTTACACAGGCAAAACTAGAGATGCGCACACGACAGCTCTGCCGCCAATCACCGACAACAACAAGGTTGTCATGTCTTCCAAGGAAACAATTACCTCGGAGAAAGAGGGTGGTAACTCTCCAACACGTCTGCCGTCCCTGGGGAGCATCTGCCCCACTCCACCATCTCGACCTCCAAGCAGACAACGCAGCAGGACTCCACTCTATTTCCCGCCAATCCGTGGAACATCGTCTGTGAGCAGTATCCCATTTGATCACCAGCCAAAACAGGAGAGTGGGTGGAACTCCAGAGCCTCTGAGAACAGCAAAATCAGACGTGAATAAAGAGAATGGATGGACAGGGTGTGGCGTGAATATGGAAAATTATCTTGACCTGACATTGGCAGAGAAAACTAACATGGGCAAAAAGGATGGACGTGAGGGATGAGTGGATGAAGATATAAAAACTATATTTCTCCTCCAATTGATATTCATTCATGTCCCAACCCGTGAAGATCCGGGTTAGAAATTGTCTTCAGCAACCAGTGCTTGTCTTCATCGGCGACTTATGGGATCGGATGGTCAGGCTCCTTAACACATATCATCGTATCCCAGTTGCGTAGATCGGTGCTTATAACGTCAGTCACTGGATTGTCTGGTCCAGACTTGGTTATTTACAGACCGCCGCTATTTAGCTGGAATATTGCTGAGTGCGGCGTTGAACAAACAGATCATTCAGATCGAATTAAAAGCTAAATTATTCCTAATCATCGACGCGTGTACAGCGTTAGTGTATCTTGATCTTACACTTCAATCCAGTCGTTTCTATGCCATCCGGCCACCTGCCCTTCATGTCACATCCTCACGTCCTTCCCACACCATTATCCAAGCAGGTCAAATAAACTCAACTCCACCAACCCAGTCAAACTGCGTCGCCATGGCCCGAAGATGCCTGACACCCTGTCAGCACCCGCTCCAAGTTCCACCAGTCTGTGTACATCAGCACACCTCGAGGCTTCAACTAAACTTTATACATCAATACACGTGTTGTAAGTGTTTATGTTTTGTCAGTTGTATAAACGTATAACTATATGCGGCCGTGACTGTATATATATGTATGCGGCAAAAACATATTTTTCGAAATGTTACCAAAATATTTTACACATGTTATGTTTTGAATTCAGTAAGTTTATTAATGTTTTATCACAGTATTGTTTACATGCTCTACACTTGTTATATTTATACATATAATCTTAAAAATGGTGCTTATGGAAAACAAAAATGTATGTTATATATGGTATATTTTGTAACCTTTATGTTTGAAATGTTTAATAAATTATTCATGGCTCATGATTATGGCTCTGATTTTGTTGTTAAATATTTTCATTTATAGTTTGTGGCAGACTTATGCTGCCGTACAGAATGGTATTAATATCTAAGCTAACTTTTAGGATTTCAAAGCCTTATATCAATTCAGACCGGCTGCTGACATACTTTGGACATTTTAAAAACATTGACTGAGTTTGGTTTTACGCCGATTTTAGCAATATTCCAGAAATATCACGGCGTGGGACACCAGAAATGGGCTTCACTCATTGTACCCATGTGGGGATTCGAACACGGGTCTTCGACGTGACGAGCCAACGCTTTAACCACTAGACTACCCCACCGCCCCCTTTAAAAAGAAATGATTGGCATCTGTACCAGAGTTTTGTATGGCAGCGTGCCTGTTTAAAATGGGATTTAAGCCTGAAGTGATCCATGTATCAGATGTTTACAGTTATACCATTTAGGTGAAGTCCATTAATTGCGAGATCTTGGATTCTCGACCAACAAGCATGGTTTCTAGTTGTAGTGTAGTGTTCACTCGTCCCTGTAATTTTTTGTTTGTCTGTTGTTTGACGTCGCACTCAGAAATATTGTTGCTATATGTAACGAATCTAATCTGGACTAGACAATCCAGTGATCAAAAGCATGAGCATCGATCTACGCAATCGGGATACGATGACGTGTCAACCAAGTCAAGGAGCCTGACCACCGGATCCCGCTAGTCGCCTCTAACGACAAGCATGGCTGGCTGGAGTCCAATTCTGGATCTTCACGGGTCTGTACCGATGACGAGCCGACAAAACGGAAAGATGACACAGGCAGAAAAGAGGTGAAGTTATTTGAGAGGAGTGAGACACACGATTATCGACACAAGTGTGTACATCAGTTGAAACAGACCCGTGAAGATCCGGGTTAGGGTCGGTCTTCTGCAACACGTGCTTCTAGTAAGAGTCGACAAACTCGTTGATCAACTGCGGCGTTAATAAACGAATAAAACAAAACAAAAAGTTGAAATAACCAAAGACTATATTCGGTGAATATATGATAAGTGATCAAAACTCGGGTGTCAGCTGATGGCCAATTATAACACATACCAACAATGTGGTTTAAGCAGGGGTTAATTTGTTTGGGGCGGTGGGATAGCCTAGTGGTTAAAGCGTTGACTCGTCACGCCGAATTCCCCACATGGGCACAATGTGTGAAGCCCATTTCTGGTGTCCCCCGCCATGATATTGCTGGAATATTGCTAAAAGCGGCGTAAAACCAAACTCAGTCAGTCAGTCAGTTAATTTGTTTAAAAGGTTTTCCCGCCACAGGTCAAGTCTATTTTTCACTTGCCTTGTTTGTTTTTTCACGTTTCTTTACAACAAAATATCATTCCCTCATTCTTTTAATATCATAGTGTCTTTATCGCTCATTTAATAGCGCATTATTATCATATCTATATTATTCTTTTAATCAGTTATCTTTTATTGTTTTGATAATTTAATCAATATTTATCTTATTAATTGTAGATTTTTTAACACTATGTTCAGTACTTACTTGAAAGTTCACTGTTCAATATACACGTGTTGAAGTTACTGTTCTAGGGGCGGGGGAATAGCTTAGTGGTTAAAGTGGTCGCTCCGTCACTCTGAAGAATTTCGATTCCCCACTTGGGTACAATGTGTGAAGCCCATTTCTGGTGTTCACCGCTGTGATATTGCTGGAACATTGCTAAAAGCGGCGTAAAACCTTTCTAACTCACTCTGAACACTCACTGCTCATAACTTGAACATTCACAATTCTCAATGTGTTCTTAGTCACTGCTCAGAAACCGTCTGGGGGCGGCGGGGTAGCCTAATGGTTATAAGCGTTGACTCGTCACACGGAAGACCCAGGTTATATTCCCCACATGGGCACAATGTGTGAAGCCCATTTCTGGTGTACCCCGCCGTAATATTGCTGGAATATTGCTGAAAGCGGCGTAAAACCATACTCACTCACTCACACTCACTCAGAAAGCGTCTGTTTGCTGCTGGTGGACGCCGTGGCCATGATGATGGTAGCACATAGGTACCCGGTTCGATTCCCCAGTTCGATTTTCCGGTGTCTACCGTGGCGATATTTCTGGATAATTGCTAAAAACGGCTTTAAACCACCTCACTTACTCACCAGCGCTGGAAAAAAGCCTATCACTGGCTGTACTATGGCTGATAACAAATACTTTCAGAACATGCAAACATCTCTCATTCTTGTTTGGAAGTAATCCCTGGTATTTTTTTAGCATAGATCTTTGGAAGTTTTTCAAATGTTCTTTAAATTCAATGAAGTTATTCAATAAGTGTTTTCAGAACTGGGAATAGCAATGCATTGTAGTCTTACAATTCACACCGTCCAGTGTTCCCATGTACACAAACTATGGCTATCAAATGGCCTTTCGGTAAAGTAAAGCACATTGAAGCAATTCAACGCTGTCTGTGTAGAGCAAACAAACCTTTCTTCAAGATACTTTTTGTACCATTGTTGAGATATTCGATCACAGAACGTGCTTACCTGCAGCTGAGCGTTTTTAACAAGGGCCGCATGTGGGCCCGTCATAATAGTTTGTCACTATTTTAGGTACAGATATTACATCCGCCTCTCCTGATGTGTAAGTTGTTTTGTTAACAGATACAAGGAAATAACCTTGTGCAATAACAACGCCGTACACTAGTCTTTGTGAGGTGTAAGTATCTGAACAGTGTACACTTGTCTGTGTTAGGTATAAATAACCCTAAAGCGTAGCTATATGTCGCAAGTGAAATTCAGATTTACTGTTACAGAAATATAAAGTAACTTGAAGTATCTCTTGCGACAGGTGGCTGCAGTCGAAGACGAGTCACCTGTCTGCAGTCAGTCTGTGGTGTTGTTGCGTTGACCTTTTGTCGGTCATGGCATGTTTTCGCTATTCACTCGCTGCACATTAGCGATGACAGACAAATGAAGCCCCATTGTTTTCAATACCCAACTATTCATGTTGCACGTTCATGTCAGAGTGTCTGGCCGCGACGCTCCCACGAGTACTTGCTATCATCATTCATGTAGGTAGGCTCAATGTCACAAGCAGGTGGTATTTAGAGCATGCCTGTATGCATTGCACCCATGGGGAAAATGGAACCAAGCCCGACTTATTCACTGAGTTTCGTAATACGTAACTGAAATACTGCGGCGGCGTAAAACGTCATTTCTTCTACGTCGGTATGTAAAAAACATAATTGACATGTTTGGGACAAATAGGAGTCGTATTTGTTTTCCTGTACAAACAAAGGCACGATTTAATTGGTAAAATGTACTATGCTGCATGATATACAAATAATATTAATTATGATGTAGTGGCTTGTAAAAGCAACTTGAAGAAAATATATTCAGTTCATTATTAATTCATTACCGAAGCTTTCCCTTGGAGCCATTAACACTTCTCAGATTCATATAGTCTGTATGCGGAGGCTGATGAACCGTCACTTGAAAAATGTTCATTAAATTGACTTAACGTATCTTTCTATATCATATTCTTCTGAATAAGACCCGTGAAGATCCCGGGTAGAATAGGTCTTCAGCAACCCATGCTTGCCAAAAAAAGGCGACTATGCTTGTCGTAAAAGGCGACTAACGAGATCGGGTGGTCAGGCTCGCTGACTTGGTTGACACATGTCGTCGGTTCCCAATTGCGCAGATCGATGCTGATGCTGTTGATCACTAGATTGTCTGGTCCAGACTCGATTATTTACAGACCGCCGCCATATAGCTGGAATATTGCTGAGTGCGGCGTAAAACTAAACTCACTCACTCTTCTGAATAAAATCCAGTCAGCGATTCCATTTTTCGTTTTCTCAAATAACTTTTCATTGAAAGATTATCTGAAACAAATCCATCCATGGTTGATGTCGCTCTGAGTGAGTGAGTTGTAAACCTTAGGGGCTTCACGTTTGTAGAGGAGACCATTCGTGACAACTCGATATGAAATCGATCATTAACACTGCCGTTTGGGATATTACAAAACGACCGTTCTCATCATCTTCCTGCCATTATAAAAATAACATTAATTTACTCGGTGAAAACGGGCTGTGGGACATTCTTTCTTTGCAGGGCGGTAAACATATTAATAGCTGAAACGTATTACTACTCAAATGAACCGACTGGGGACAAACGTGTAATTGTCACTACAGCGTGAAAATTTCCGTCATTAATACGTCTGATATTACGCAAGTCTGTAAATATGTGTCAAGCTGACCCCGTCATGGAAAATTGCTCAAAATACAAAACGCTCTGTCATTGGATCATAGAAATCCCTACACACATACAGGTGATATGATTGGCCAATCTAATACCACGTGATTATTTGCGTATCCGGATATATGGAGGTATATCGTAAACAACAGAAGTAGAGCTCAAGTTGATTATATCATTGACGGGTATATACAGTTATGCACATTTACAGCTTTCCAGAACAGTAAATTGTGATCTGAATTGCTGGTAAGTTGTCTTTTGAGTGTTATATCTTTGTACAATATGCCGGCGAGATGTTCACTCGACTAAATCGAGGTTGTGCGAGAATATGATTCACCATGAACTGACATTGAATTGGAAGGAGGATTAACTCAATAATTCGGTTATGTAGTCTGTCATCTCCTACGCTAGTGGTGATTGCAGTCTCCCCGTGACTTGGTTAGTTTAGATACGAGACATTTCGTTCTCGTCTTACATCAGATTGCTTACACGCGACTCTGACATGTTATTGAAAGGAAAAGGGGCCCTCTTAGGGTTTTGTCATCTTGCCTGCAGTAAAATTAATGTTAAATTTGGCATCGTAGTTTATTTATGTTTGTACCTTGACCTATTTATGAACATATTGTCTTGCCTGTCCAAACACTGGCATTTGTTTTGCTGCTCAGTAACCACAACGATGAAAGACTTAAAGTGATTAATTGTTCAGTTTATGTAACATACTAACAATAACATCTCCGCAGACGCCTTGTTGACAGTGTCGTATATTTTTGGATAGAAACAGGCAGGTAAATGTAAATTTAAAAGTAGGTAGAGTGGGACATGATCATAAATTATTTTGATAGAATTAAGCAACAACATTCAAATTTAAATTGTATACATAGTCCCAATTTATTTGCTGAATGATTGTTTATCTAGACTTGCTTCATGTAGGGCGATAGCATTTCAATAAGGACTGGGCCAGTGGGGTGGATATAGAAGGTTTTAGGATTAATTTACTGTGAGGCAAATTACTAACTTTTCATGATCGTTTCAAACTAATTGGTGAACTGAAATGAACAGAGATTATAGTCACCAAAAGGTTGACCAAACAGAATTATACTGTGACAAGCAGTATTGTCATGGATATGTAACTTGTTGATTACACAATGTTTCAGGGCTATTTGTGGCTGTAATGAATGACAGAACAGCGGAGCATGGCATCTTTGTATACTGTAAACTAATAATTGCTGTGTGTATACTGTATGTTCATAACAAACATGCTTATAATGACGGGTGCTGGGGTAGCCTCGTGGTTAAAGCGTTCGCTCATCATGCTGAAGACCTGGGTTCGATTCCCCACATGGGTACAATGTGTGAAGCCCATTTCTGGTGTCCCCCGCCGTGATATTGCTGGAATATTGCTAAAAGCGGTGTAAAACTAAACTCACTGTCTCACTCACTTATAACGATGGATGTAACAACGTGTTTATTTGGAAAGGGTCTATTGGCCTCGATTAGATGATGGCAAGCTGTAGGGATGTAATAACCATGATTTCTGTTGATTATTTGGTTGAATTGATTATCGAGCTGTTTACAGGATGTTTCATCATGTGCGTTGATCAACATAAATAAGACACTTCTAACAAACTGATATTAGAAACCCACATTATGGCCATGTGCATCGTCTATCAATGACAATATTTGCTAAAATAACAAACCGTTTATCCAATCTTTTGCAATAGAGAAGGCACTTCAAATAGGTTCAAATGGCAATAAACAATTGAAATAGTGATTAAGGGGATTAGGTTTTGACAGCTTTTCATTAACAAAAATGCAACAGTGATGAGGCTGTAGCCAGACACGTAGCCCTTGTATCTACATGTCTATATCAATTAAATAGTCTAAGTAATAGAGAAGAAGAAGAAGATTATTTATTTTCGTGTCAGTCGCACTGTAACACAATGACAATAAAAATGCACTAATATAATATAGTGCCCAGTCAATCATGCTTGACAACGGTACAAGAATCTGTATCGAAACGTCGCACTCACGAATAAAAGTTGTTATCCATAAAGTTTGTTCTATATTGTACTTCCCAACTTATAAAATGCCACTCAAGGAAGCCAGTCAATATAGGACGGCACTTATAGATAAAAATGAGAGGTATCACAGATCATACATATACACCCGTGTATTAATTAAGCACCACCCTATTTTGAAAATAACATGTGATGCTACTGATTAGTTAGGGTATAGCTATCAATTTAATCAACCTTTAGTTAAAGAAGCTTTATCCATTGACAATTTTACAAATACCATGACCTTTTCTGTTCTTTATGAAAGAATATGTCAATGAATATATGTCATGTATGACATCTTTTAGTGGCATTTAGATGTTGTTATAGATAACCAAGATATTTTATGGATTTTTGCTTCTTTATTTTTTCCCGTACAACGTTTCGGGATTGTTACAGATCCCTACATCACATGATGAAATGTTGTGTGGGAAAGAATAAAGAAGTTTAAATCCATAAAATATCTTGGTCATATTTCAATGTAATTACTAAGACACTGTTATCAAGGAGGGTGATATGCAACATTATTCACAAGGATGAAGGATAACTGAGTTGATACAATGGGGGTTGACGGGGTAGCCTCGTGGTTAAATCATTTGCATGTCACGCCAGAGCCTCGGGTTAGATTCCCCACATGGGTACAATGTGTGAAGCCCATTTCTGGTGTCCCCATTGTGATATTGCTGGAATATTGCTAAAAGAGGCGTAAGACTTGACTCACTCACTCACTGATACAATGGAGGAGGTTGATGTAGAGTGTGATTACAATGCTGATAGTTGTTGTGTTTATAAATTGTAGGTATGAATCCAGGTGGACAAAGTAGGGAAAGAGTAACTGTTACCAGATGTGGTTAGCTGTAGGGATGTAATAACTGTGATTTCTGTTGATTGTTGTTGGGTTGAGTCTTTTAATGGTGATTACCTCTAAGCATTTTCTAATCTTGTAGTAAGACTGTTTGGCTTCAAGGATTTTGATGTTGCAAAGGATGGTATAGTCAGGATGGGTTTGGGTGTGGTTAGAATAGAAATATAGTGGGTAGCCTGGTGGTTAAAGCGTTCACTCACCATGCCGAAGACCTGGGTTTAATTCCCCACATGGGAACAATGTCTGAGCCCATTTCTGGTGTCCCCTGCCATGATATTGCTGGAATATTGCTAAAAGCAGCTTAAGACCATACTGAAGTCAAATCATAGCACACAAAATACCAGCAAAGAACGCTATTGAAAGAAAACTCATGCAAATATTACACCTGTAAGATAAAATGATCAGTGGTAAGCTGATTGCAAACTTCATTGATTCAAGATTTTACAGTTTGTTGTGTACTACTAACAAACTCAAATACCAATAGATTCCTTTTGAAAAGCACATGCTAAAGTAGTCGGTGTATCAAAGACACACACTGACTGGAGCTGCTAGACTGGATATGTATTTCTCAGTTTCGCAAATGAAAATGGCTTCCTGCAACAGAGGAAGAATTGTCAAAAATAGTTTCACGCTATAAGTTTTGGAAAGTTAAAATACCCAAATGTCAAGAAACAGGAGGGTGGAAAACAATTGAATACCCACTAAAATTTGTGCATGTCCAATGAAAATCAAACCCATGGGTAAAATACAGGCATCCTTCGCCATAACGCGGGTTGTGGGGTCCACTGGATGAGCCCCAAAATTATGAGGCACCCATGTTGTACATAATGCAGAATATAGGCCAAGTTAAATCATATTTTCCATGTGCATGGCATGACTGCAATTTCGTTTATTGTGCCCATATCATATTGTCAGAGGTGAACAAACAAACTTTGAAAATGAAAATATCAAACTTGCAATCAAACATAACTAGACTTGATGATTCAATTGTTGTTCCTGTTATGGTACCTGTTATTCAACTAAGCTGGAAATATCAATCAGCTGTGTACACATGTTTTGCTCCAACCTTCCTGTGATTCAGTTATAAAATGATACAAAAGTATAACTTCAAAGAATTTCTATTCTATATAATCAGAATAATATATATTTTTACATAGATGATATATATGTCGCTATTGTTTTAGTAAAATGCATATTTTGTGTACATATTTGATATGATAATTAACATAAGGCTTAGCACTCTGGGTATGTAGCTATACGTAACATCCAAAAGCTTTGCTTGTCTAGACCTCTGGTCATGGTTATTAATAGTGGTGGTCCGATTAATTGAAATAACCGAAGATTGGTGGCAATGACTAAACGACCAAGCAATCGAAGCAGGCCCCCCCCCCCTAAAATATGTGTGTTTAGGGTAACATGAAATTATAAAACAGGGTCGGTAGGTAGGGTTTATCTTTATTTGTTCTTAAATTTTTTTTCTAAATGTACTCACATATTTTTCATAAAATCACACATTTATGTAATATCAGGGACAAGTTTTGAAAGAAAAGAGGGGAAACCAGTTTAAAATTTTAATAACTGAAGCATCAACACTTTCGAAATTCAACATTTATGAAAAACAAGAGTAAGTGAGCACAGGTCACATATGGTCGCCCCCAACATTGGGGAGTACATACTGTTGGAATAGCAAAATGTTTCACCAGTCTTTTAAAACAACGGAAAAAGAAGTTTAGGGTAGTGAAGTTTGTGGAGTCGGTCGGGAACCTGTAAACACACTTATTATTTTGGGGGGGCCTAATCGAAAAATAAACAATTCTGGAACACTAGTTTGCATTTACAACATTTTTCACTAGGTTGGTTTTGTCTGTTACATTTCATAAGCACTACAAGCTCGTTCCTTGTCATGATTGAATTTATCTTAAAGACAAGAGGTACATATAATTTATGTTCCTAACATACTAGTCATCCTTTAAGATGTGAAATTTGTAATGCATTTTGTGCAATTTGCAAAACAAACCCAAAAGAACTTCATGTTTTTTCTATAATTTTTGTGCATTAACAAACATAGCCAGCAGAATTTGATAAATGATGCTAACCAATTATTTTCGATGATTGATTGGTTGTAATGAACCAATCATCAATTGTGAGATTTTAACCATTTCCCAACACTAGTTATTAATGATTCTTATTCTTACAATATTTATGCCAGTGCTGCATGGGATCAACAACATCCTATGTTCCCAATCCAAGATGTATTCATTCTTCCATCATGTATTTGCATTCTGTATTTCAGTGAGTCATTCATGTTTCTGTTTTATCAACAGAAAAAAATGTCTCAGTGGAAATCTGTGACCTTCTCTTTGGACCTGCGCTCATCTGCTGCCCTTCAGCGACAGTTTCTCAGGGAGGTCAATCGCTACCCTGCCCTTCATGGGGGCCCACTCCTACTGCAAGCCATCAACAGATATGAGAGGTTCTGGCTGCCTCTTGCTGCCAAATATCCCAAAGAACAACTGGCAGCACCCTTGGATATAGAATGGGTGTGGCACTGTCACTTATTGGCTCCCCTGAAGTACCAGAAGGACTCCCATGCAATTGCTGGATGTATCGTGGACCACAAGCTCATGAATTCATCTGAAAGAAAGTCCTCCATGGCAAAGTCCCAGCAACACTGGAGACAGATGTATCCATCAGAGCCGTTTGAGGTTGACTTGGGTGGTTCTGTGGTGGATCCCAAGCTTCAAGAACCAGTGATGTCTTCTTATGACCTTGTTGATGCTGTGTCAAGACAGAAAGTCTTCTTCTATCAAATCTCTCTTCCTCATTACCATGACCAGAAGTATTTGGATATTTGTCAGGAGCGGTACAAGAAGTTTATCTATTTGAAACAAATGAACCCTGGCAAGTTCATCGTCCCATGCTATGACATCGACTTGGTCTGGCATACACATCAGCTGCACCCTCTGCTGTACAAGAAGGACAGTGAAGCACTTCTGGGGAAAACTTTCAACCACGATGATACTGTCACTGATCGTTCTGTCGGCTCCAAGCTGTACAACTCGGACATGGAAACACGTGATCTTTGGCGGGCCGCCTTCAATGAAGGCTTTGCTATGTATGGTGCAATGTACAGGGGAAACCCACCGGATGGAAAGCTCTACAGCATGGCCAAGGCAGAGCTCTTTACTGTTTCGACAAAGTCAGCTGTATTGAAAGTGGAGTCGGTTAAGTTATCGGGCCTGCCGTCTACGGTGAAGAAGTTTAAGCTGAAGATATCTGCTGCTGCAGACAACAAGGAGATGCAGACTCTGGCCTCGTTGAAGAGCCCCAACCAGGAATGGAAAGACAAGAATCTCGTAAACTACAAATTTGAAACAAAGTCAACCAACTGCCTAAAATTTCGCCTGGAAGAAAGGACAGGTTTTGCTTGTTTCGGCAGCCAGATGACCTTGGGAGAAACTAAGTACCCGATGCTCCCACATATTGAAACTGGAGGACCAACTGTGACTCCTTTGAATGTCAATCTTGACCTTGGAAACAATCAGCTGAAGGTGAACTTCAAGGGAAGCCTTTTCCCTCCAGTATCGGGGCCATGCTTGCTGTTCCTTTCCTCTGGTCGCTATGACAACTGCATCATGCCTGAGAATGTTGAGTCAATGTGGGGTCCAGTTCCGCTCCCGCCTGTCAAGTCCGGGGAAGAAAACAGATGTGAAGTTGCCTCCCATCAGTAAGTATTGTTGCAGTGTGAACACAGGTCCAGCTAGACATGGAGGTCAATATTTGACCAAAAGTCTTTGGCAAATGTCTGTAGATACTCCAAAATTGATATTATCAGAATTCATGTAAATACAGTTTCGTGTAAACTTGGGAATTGTGGATTGAACTGTATTTCATAGAAAACATGACCCATGATGGTGAAGAACCATTATCATGATATAGTATTGAATCCTATATGAAGCCTGCTAAGTTAACTCAGTCTAGATGCCAAGATAAGTCTCTGGTGTAATACCCATGCTGTACAATATCTAGCAGTAAACATGATAGATGTTTCATTTTTGGAATGCAGATACCCCTTTTTTGTCTCTGTGTAATGTTTACATTAGCAGATAAACGTCATAAGATCAAAATGATGAGATCCTGTTATTTGAACATATTGAGGTCTGTCATCTGTACAGGAAGGTTCACTGACTTTCAGTATTTTTATCAGTGAATAGAATGTTTCTGCAATGCTAAATGAGTACAAAAGCTGACTTTTAATATAGATCCTCAGATAATTATTATTATGTGTTTGACTTTTTCAAGTTATATTGGAAAAAATTATTACTTTATTCAAAACATCAATTCAGAATTATATTTTTGTATAACCGAGCAAAAGAAGACACAAATGTCTGGACGACTGATAATAAATAATATATATATATATATTTATTTCCACTTTTTTGTTACATTTCCATCCATTTTATAACAACATACACGTACATATATATGTGCATATAGATGTACACAGAATTGTGGCTCGTTTATATGTCATATTCTAAGACATTACCCTGGCTTGCTGAAAAGTAGATAATAAATAATATGCTTTTCTGTGAAAAGTGCAACATCAAAATGAAAAGGTCATTACCACGTGGACATAGATCGTTTGTTATTCATGGTAATAAATACGTGAAAGAGACAATAAAAAAAAGAAAAGAAGTTTTTGAAGACCAGGTCACGCATTACTCTGTCATGTGAGTGAGTGAGTGAGTTTAGTTTTACGCTGCATTCAGCAATATTCCAGCTATATGGCGGCGGTCTGTAGATAATCGAGTCTGGACCAGACAATCCAGTGATCAACAGCATGAGCATCGATCTACGCAATTGGGATACAATGACATGTGTCAACCAAGTCAGTGAGCCTGACCACCCGATCCCGTTAGTTGCTTCTTACGACAAGCATGGGTTACTGAAGACCTATTCTATCCTGGATCTTCAGGGTATCACGTTCATGTAGCATCTGAAGGCAATGTAAACCATTAAGAGCATGGGTATTTATACCATTATCTGTCAATCTGAGTACTTTCACAAGGTGACACCTTTAGACATTGTCGACTTTCTCTTCCTACAGGCTGGTGAACCACACCCAGCAGTTGGTGTTCACAGTGCGAGTCATCCACAGTCTTCCGCTGCTCACGTCGGCGATCCAGGTCTTCTATCACGACAAGATGGCTGCTGTCGCCCACCTGGTGGGCTCAGACCAGATACCTCTACCAACACAGGTAGGCACTTGCTGTCATTTATATCTCAGTGGTTCACATGTATCAACTGTCCTGCTTGTATCACACATCACATGTATCACACATTATCACGTTTCCAGTGTGCGAAATAGCCACAGGCCTGCAAGCACGTTGGTAGTAAACAATCCAGTCGGGCCACTAAATCTCCACAGTCACTGGCCCGACTGGCTAGTGAATTTTCATGGGGTCATTTTGTAAATACATCACTCTCTCCAACTTGTCAAGTTATAATACACTTTTAAATCATGCACAATTATGGCCTGATAAAATGTTCATCATATTGGCAGCTTAATGATGAAACCTGTGTCATGTCGACAATATCGTATCCTCATCTATTTTGGTAATCTTTTACTTAGTTTCTACTTTCAAATTTCGGGCTAGTGAATTATTTTGTGGGCTAGTAACTTTCAGGCTTAGCTAGCCTGACTGGCTAGCAAAAGTTGGAAACTATTTCACACACTGCATGTATCACACATTGTATACAGACATCTCTGTGTATTTGTTCCTAGGTCAGCAGATCATTTGCATAAGTTATTCTCAACTCCCTGGGGCAGTGGGGTAGTGGTTAAGGGGTTCACTCATCACGTCGAACACACGGGTTCACTTTCCCAGATAGCTACAATGTGTGAAGCCCATTTCTGGTGTCTCTCTGCCATGATATTGCTGGAATATTGCTAAAAGCTGCGTAAAACCATACTCACTCACTCATCTCCGGGAGGAGTATACAACCCTTGCTGCCTTTAAGAGCTAAAGGTTTCTTTACATACTCCTCACATGCCTTTACCCTTTCCTTCCCAGATAGCATTCAGACGTTGACCCAATGTTGGCAATGGTTTTGCCAACATTGCCAACGTTGGGCCAACGTCTGAATGCCATCTTGGTTCCTGTGTGAAAAGAGGCACATTTGAAGTACTGGTAAAGTCCCTTGTCTAGGAGAACACTACACATTTTGACACTTGTATATCGGGTGTGTGTGATTGGTTCATTGCTTTGTTGTTTAAAGCTGCACTAAGCAATAGTCTAACCAAACGGTGGCAGTCTGTAAGTGAGTGAGTGAGTATGATTTTACGGCGCTTTTAGAAATATTCCAGCAACATCACAGAGGGGGACACCGGAAATGGGCTTCAGACGCAGTCTGTAAGTGATTGTTAGGGATATGATGACATATCAACCAAGTCAGGAAGCCTGACCACCCAATCAAAAGTTGCCTCTTATGGCAAGCATGAAATAGGATATTTGTCATCCACCTTTTCTCATGCCTCATATTTGGGGTTTGGTTGTGCTGAAGACGACCCAGATTCAATTCCCCACATGGGTACAATCTTTGAAGCCCGTTTCTGGTGTCCCCCTCTGTGATATCGCTTAAATATTGCTAATACCATACTCATTCACTCATACCTCGTGCTAACATTTATGTTTCATGATCTACTTTTTGTAAGGAGTGTATCTTGAGACAATCCACTGTAGCATCCATTTGCCATGATTACAGGTAAAACATCCTGACAAGTGTATCACAATCAACCCTCGGTTGGGAGAGAGAGCCATCCTCATCAAGAACAATGAGGGAGACTGGGGCATCGTGAAGGGTCGTTGGGGAGGATACAGTAAAGGAGTGCCAGGGATCAAAGGTGAGAATTTTGTATGATGGAGTGTCTGTGCGCTGACCTAATTTGACTATTGTAACCATTCATTTGAGCTATTGGTTGTCACTGTATCTAAGTTATGAGTATTTATTCTGTTGGGTGTTTGGGTAGCCTTGTGGTTAAAGTATTTGTTCATCACGCGGAAGACGTGGGTTCTAGTCCCCACATGGGTACAATGTGTGAAACCCATTTCTGGTGTCCCCGCCGTGATATTGCTAGAATATTGCTAAATGCGACGTAAGTCTTGACTCACTCACTCACTGATACAATGGAGGAGGTTGATGTAGAGTGTGATTACAATGCTGATAGTTGTTGCGTTTATAAATTGTAGGTATGAATCCAGCTGGACAAGTGGGGAACGAGTTACTGTTACCAGATGTGGTTAGCTGTAGGGATGTAATAATTAAACCCGTCATAAAACTAAACTCACTCACTCGCTTATTCTGTCTGTGTAATGAATTATTGCTTTGACTTGACCTACAATTAGTAATGATTATCATGATTGTACAACACTTCTTATTGGGTGATAAATGGTAACTTTAGTTGTTTCACAGAATTTGGTTTTGTCCTCACTTTATCCTTAATTTTACTTTTTTCAACATATGAAAGTGTGAGAGGTTCAATTCAAGTTGTAACACAACTTGCCAACTTTTTTCTTAATTTCCTGAATTTACGCCCCTTTAACTCCACTCAGGAAGCACAGGAAAATCATCATTGTCCTGCCTAAATCTTACATCACAGGGACATAATTCTATATATATTCTGCTCCACATTTTGCTGTTGACGTGCATTTCGAAAATTTGGATTGAATCCTCTTCCTGACACAAACTAATGTCTTTTGTTATTTATTATTAGTGTCAGTGATATTAAGAATACTCAGAACAGTCTAATTATTATATTTTCACTTTTGTATTTTTTATGTCAGCCATTAACAACTTCTGGCTGTAAATTGGTGCCATGCTGTAAATTTACTCTGTTATGCTGCAGTAACAGTGTTTCATAGCAGGAACTAAGTGCCACCTGATGGTTTATAACAGAAATACTGTTCAGAATCTTTAGAAAACTCACAACTCACACGCCCCGTAAAGATCCATGTTAGAACTGAACTTCAGTAACCCATGCTTGTCGTAAGAGGCAGCTAATGGGTGGTCAGGCTCGCTGACTGTGTTGACACGTGTCATCGTATCCCAATTGCGTAGATCAATGCTCATCCTGGAATCACTGGATTGTCTGATCCAGACTTGGTTTTTTACAAACCAACACCATATAGCTAGAATATGCTGAGTGATGCTTTAAATAGCAAACAAACAAAACAAACACAACTCACACCCACTTACACACTTGGCTTGCTGTGTCTACAGGTACCAGACATAATCGGGGAAAGCGCGACGTACCTGGATGTCCGGGCTACTTGACCTTCAAATTCTACGATCTTCTCCATGGATCTTCGAAGGAAATCCAACTTACAGATTATCTGAATCAGAAGTTCTCCTTCAGGTTTGGGTCCCTGTTCATGGACCTGAAGCAAGGCTATGTTCGCGTGGAAGAAGACACAAGCCAGATCCCGGAGCACATTGCCCTAGCCTTCTCCATCTCCCTTCTACATGTACTGTGTCAGCCTCGCCCATCCGACTGGAAGCCAGGTGACCCTGTTCAGAAGCAAGTCTCAAGGGGAACACAGTCTGTGCAGTCCATCCCATCGAATGACATGGCTTTCATCATGGCTGCTGGCTTCATCACCATGACGCCATCCAACCACTACATCTACCACACCTATGGCATCAACGCCTGTGCTGGTTGCGGTGGAGGTGGGATGGGTGACATCGGTGGAGTGGACACTGGGGTGGTTGACGTGGATGCTGGGGCAGGTGTGGATGGAGGCGATTATGGGGATGTAGGATGTGGCGATGCTGGGGATACTGGTGGGTGTGGTGGATGTGGAGGGTGTGGTGGATGTGGGGGAGGGGGAGGAGGTGGATGTGGAGGTGGCGACGGTGGTGGATGTGGGGGTGGATGTGGCGGTGGGTGTGGAGGAGGGTGCGGGGGAGGATGTGGAGGCTAAACTGATGCATGAAGAGCATCTGGATGAAAAGGTCAAAGGAAAGAAGGAGACTACATTTACAATATTTGTTACATTTACTTAGAAGATCTGCAGATATTAGAACCAAAGAATATGTGACAGCAGAATTTAGTAAGCTCTCAATTTCCTTATACTCTGTAAACTTTGCGTGATGCAGAGATGACTCTCTGGAGGGACAGCAGATCCATGTTTTACATGCAGTTCGTGCATGATCAATGCATTTAAGGGACTGGTCATTTATTATTGGGGAGGGGGCAGCTGAAACTAGAAAGTGTGAGGGGTGAAGGGTGGGGCTCACCAAAATTTATCACAACTAATTTGGGGGTTCACCAAAAAATTACACTCATGGAATGGGGGGTGAAAACAAGTCACACTAAAAGAGTTTGTGGGGTTGGATGGCTCAATATAATAGTCCTACGACCAATCTCACCACCACCCTGACCCCCTTCCCCAGTAATTTATGATCAGTCCCATACAATACCTTTCTCAAAACAATTACTAAAGCCCCAATATTTTTAGAATAATGTACAGTGACTGTTGAGGTGGTCAAAGCAGTCATACGCTGCAAGTATTGTATACTATATATTTTATTTATGCATAATCATAGCAATCATAATGGCTTCTAGTGACTCTTAATCCCATAATATTATGCTGTGTTGTAGCTTATTTATTTATAATGTCACCATTAACGACATGTCAAAATTGTGTAGAACACTGGTCGTGATTGGAGTTGATGATGAGGTGTATTTGGCAGTGCTCTCAGAACCAAGATGTGAACATACATGCAGTTATGAGACCATCTGCCAGTGTTACCAGTGTGTTAGAATGATGTTGTGAAACTTCATACTTTAATACATGGATAAATATGTAATAATAATATCTAAAGGTAGGGTAGGTGTTTTTGCTGAATATTATGTTTGTATACACCATAAGCGTGGACCACATTAGGTTTGGATTATTTGATTTGTGTAGATGATTAGATAGAATGTCAAATATACACTGTGTCACATGATTTGATTGGAACATGATCTGAGGTGGCCCAGATGTCTAAGCACTGCAGTCTGCTGTGCAGGGAAGCAAACTTGTGATTCTGGGTTTGAATCTCAGTTCCCCCGATCATGTTTTTAGGTTTTGAGCACCATAGTTCTGCTTGTAAACACCTTAGACCTGCATCATTTCAGTCTCTCCTCCTACATTGAAATGGCTCGTCATGACGTAGCTGGAAAACTGTTCAAATTAGAGTTGAGCCTGATTCACTCACTCACTCATGACATGCAGATTGAAGTAGTATATTTATTGTTTTGTTATGATGGAGATTAACACAGATGAGATTAGCAAAATATTTGAGATATGAAAGAAAATGTTATGCATAACTTGATAGAACCGTTTAACTGTTATGACACCTGATTTTGAGATGTCAAATTTCTTTGGCAAACGGCCATTATGACACATTCGTGTTTTTCATGATACTTTTTTGTATTTCATTTTCATAACTTTCTGCTTAAATATGGCCTTAACTATGGCATCTTGAAAACTCCTGCTAGACCCCAAAGTTTCCAGTATGACTGTCAGTATAGACTGAAAGGGGCTTCCATGTATGAGGTCGTATTTTGATAAGGAGAGATTTATCACTGACATTGTATTATTACAAAAAATAGCTGCAGAAGAGAAAAACTATTAGAAGTGTGTTGATCCGGTCACCTTCCATGACAAAATGCTGTTTTGTTAAGTAAGCTCAACTTTAGTGTGACATGACACTTTCATGTTTGAACATGCAAAATTATTTCATTGAAATGTACTGGTATACATCCTTTTGTTGCTTTCCTCACTGATCAAAAGGTCTGGATAGTGATTTTGTTCTTGTAATGCAAAAAAATTGTTGCATGAAATTAATGCTTGTAAGAATCTTTTTCTTAGTGATGGAATTTGTTATCTATTTTTTATTTTTGTTTTCTAGCCTAATAACATACAGGTCCCTTTTAAATGAGACTATGATACATTTTTCAAGAAATTGGTCTGTAATTGTTTTGTTGAGTGACCATTTTTTTGATGGTCAACATGTTATATAAATGTTATATTTGTCACCAAGGTTGTTCATGTATGTTCAAAGCTTTGACACTTCCGTGTCTCGACAGGAGTTGGTGGGAGACGTTATGATCAATCGCACGTTTCAGCCTCATTGTTATAATGCATGTGTTAACTGTCATTAAGATGCATGTTTAACAATGTGGGTCAAGTTTTATTGGCAATAATGGATAAGGCAATTATGTTTGTATTTTTTTTATTACAGATTTTGGGGAGTGATTTTTTTTTCTTCTGAAAGTGTCAATTGTTACCATTGTATATGGAACCTGGGGCGGTGGGGTAGTCTAGTGGTTAAAGCATTGGCTCGTCACGCCGAAGACCCGGGTTTGAATCCCCACATGGGTACAATGTGTGAAGCCCATTTCTGGTGTCCCCCGCCGTGATGTTGCTGGAATATTGCTAAAAGCGGCGTAAAACCAAACTCAGTCAGTCAGTATATGGAACCTAGACAAATGCAAGTTGTCGAGGTAATGTTAGACTGTGTATCTAGTTCAATGACGGAACTCAATATTATCATGAACAAAATTGGCAATGACTGATTAATTTGGGAAAGTTTAAGCATTGAGAGCTGCATTGTTATGCTTTTCTAAAACAAAGGGTTTCAAATTAGCATGTGTGATTTGTCACTGGATATACATTCTAGAATGAGAGGATGACTAAACTTTACATGGAACTTTTGACTACAATTTGATTTGCTTGATCTGTGATCCAACAAATAGAAGAATAATTGCCTAAGATGTCTCTCCTGATGAAGTGATCTATATTATTTGTAAATTATTTAAAAAAAGCAAATGTGATTTTATGTGATGATTGTTCTCATGATATTTGAAGGAGTTGCTTTTTGTTGTCTTGTTATCATGACAGGTTATACAGTAAAACATGGATATAGTGAACACGGATATAGCGTACAAACGGATATAGCGAACAAATTTAAAAGTCCCGTCAATAGTCCTTTATAATATCATTAAAATTATACGCGAATAACGAACTCGTGAGTAGCGAATTAACGGCTATAGCGAACTGATTTACTACCCCCAAGACGCAATTAACGACGTGATTAGCGAACTCACTCAGTGTCAGCTCAGTGTCAGCTCAGCCACTTAGCGGTATACATCAAGCGGCAAACATGTCCGGGAGTGAAACACTTAAGTTGTTAGTCACAGGGAAGTCAGCAAAGCTTAGATGCTTAAAAAAATGTACGCAGTTTGCCAGTAACGTACAGATCAAATGCCAAGGCCTGGATGACTGGTGAATTATTCACAGAGTGGATGAAAAACCTGGAAAAGAGTATGACGAGACAAAAACGTAAGATCCTGATGTTTGTAGACAATTGTCCTGCCCATCCTGTTGTGAAACACCTGACACACGTCAAACTGGTCTTCCTTCCACCGAACACTAAGTGTTATGTCAATGTACATGTACAAGAATAAAGATTTGTAGCCTCAGCATATACATGTCTCTACATCTCTACAATCCAAGATGGCGGTCAAATGTGAATAACGAACAACGGATATAGCGAACTAAATTTCTTGGTCCCTTGGAATTCGTTATATCCGTGTTCTACTGTATGTAGATAAAATAAACTGTGTTACTGACTTGAGAATATTGATCTGACCTGCAACTTGACTATATTCTCATGCTGCATATAAATAACATGCCAACTGACCAAATTTATGGGCCATTTGTTAAACATGTAGGCCCAACCAGTGATTTGTCACAACCAGCAAACTGTTTTCATTGCTTCTTGGTTCATAAAGGTCGAAAAATATTTGGGAACACAAGCTTGAACTTCTTTTTGTATCCTCTAATGTTATTTTATGGATTGTTGTTAACTTCATTCAGTGAAACATGTTCCACCCAGTTCAGACTTGTGGCTTCAGAAACATTGATTCAATTGCTGATGTATATTGACAAACCTTGTCATGACCTTCATTGAATCAGGGGTGGTGGGGTAGTCTAGTGGTGAAAGCGTTCACTCGTCATGCTGAAGACCTGGGTTCGATTCCCCACATGGGTACAATGTGTGAAGCCCAATTCTGGTGTCCCCCGCCATGATATTGCTGGAATATTGCTAAAAGCGGCATAAAACCATACTCGCTCACTCACTGATTGGTCGGATGAGATGTTGTTCTGTCACAAGCAATAAGGGGTTGTCCTCCGATCTTGCTTTAGCGGTAACAAGAACTAAGATCTGATTTGGATGAGATTCAGCATTAACTTGAAAACTGTTTCTGGTGTCCCCTCGACAAGATATTGCTGACATATTGCTAAAAGGGACGTAAAATCATACTCAATGACTCACTGCAAAGTTTACTGGTACAGGCCCACCTTATTTCCTGTTGGATACATTTTGTATCATGCTGAAACTACTGAAGCAGGCTACACTCACATGCTATCTGTTAGTGAAACCAGGTACCTTTCTATGCTGTTTCAGTGTGACGTAAACAAATTTACTGACTTTATCAGTTTAATAGAATCAGGAAGAATTGGCATTTTGGAACCATCACAGAAAATCCGAGAGCATTAATGGCAAGGGTATGATAATACCAAATGATCTCAACAGGTACTGCAAGGTGAAGGCTACTTCCTTGTCTCCATTAGGGCTTTGTTTAAATACTGTTCCTACATTTTTCTTGTATTTTTAAACATTATTTTAATTTTCATTTCTTTTCTTTTTTTCATTCAATTTATTTGAGAAAGAAGCCAGGATTATAAATTCACCTTGCATGTCCACGTGGCTTGTATTTAATACCTTTATAGACTGCTGTTGTCATGACAGTACCGAAATGATGTACAACTCAAAACAAGTAAAGGATCACTTGAATCATTTATGTTACTGTCAAGTCATGAAAGAATCAGATGGTCCTGATTTTTTAGTAGTAAAAGTACTGCTGATGTAAATATTGTTTATGTTTCACAGAAATAACTCAGAAAGCTGGAAATAGCACAGACAACTGCGGCATGTGAGAGTAGTTCCTGCAAATCCTAACTCATGGTTCATCTGCTCATGCAGAATGTTATCCCCAGATTCATTTCTGATTGTGATATTGCATGTTTTTCTTTACAACATTAACATAGATACAATATTTTATGAAACAAATCTGTATATAGATAGAAGAATAAAAAACAGCCTTTGATAGACATATTTGGCTAGAGAGCCACTTCCATTTTAAAGCTGATCGCGCCGATTGCATGACTATCTGTTACTCGTTGTTTTCTCTTGTTGCTGTGTTGACGGAAGACTTTGCCAGTGTTGATAAACTGATTTTCTTCCAGTTATATGTGTTCTTCATAGCTACAGCTGAAGTCGTAGATGTGCCTTCTATGTGCAAGTCGTCATTTTGTGTGATTCACACAGTACCTAGTACTTAAACTTGTTTTGGGACCGTTCATAATTTATGGCTGGTGGGGGTGATGATGATTTTTATGGAGAAGCATATACAATGTGAATGACCCCCTCTAAAATTTATGTACAAAGTAAGTGACCCTCCATGCATGTCACGTACAAAATCAATGACCCCCCACCTTCCCTTAATTTTTAAGCATAATGTTTTATTATTTTTATGTACAACATTGATGCCCCCCTAGTAAATGTGTACAAAATTGATGACCCCCTACCAACACAGAACAAAATGGGTGACAAACCCCACCCCCCCCCCACCCCTTAAAATCATTATGACCCCTAGCCATAAATTATGAACGGTCCCTTACATTATTGCAGACATCTAAGAATATGGACATAATTTCTTGTGCTGTGTAAGTTGATATATCATTAAACGGGAACAGATTTTTGGCCCCAAATAAGATTTGGTTGGTCGAAAAAAATATGCAACAATTTGAATAAATGTTTTGATTTCCCTTTACTAACTGTTAAAAAGTAAGGCTCAGGACAGGAGGTGTTGGTTAGGAACATGTTATAAGTTACTTCCCTTTTATCGTGGTCCATAACAACTTAATAGTTCTTGTGGTTTTCAGATAGATATTCAACAGGTTATAAGTTCTATATTCATATTGATAACAACAGCAAATAAGCGCTTGTTCTAAGCATTTTACTGTTTCTGGTGAATGAAAAAACATTTGATGTATGAAAATTTGTTCAAGTTGTATTTGTTAGATTGGTAAACCAATCTTTTTAAAATGCCTGGTCTGATTAATGTCATAATATGTTCTGGTTTTGTACCTTTATATTTTGAATATATCCTCCACCAGTCAATATGGTAGATATCTGCTGATGTAGTGTTTTAAGGGCTATATACATCCCTGTGTTGATTCTATATTTTGGTTTAAAGAGAACAATTATTATCATCAACCATTCAAAAGATATCCAAAGGTCACATATGAATTTTGTTTGTTAAAGCCTTGCAAGAAAACACTGTTCAGAATTAAACTTGACAGTCAAGGTGTCTTTGTCAGTGCCCCTAATAATAAGAGTGATTTAGGGGGCTACTAGATTTAAGTGTTTACATCAGTAAGGACCTGCCATAATTTTGAAATACAATGGAATAACAGGTTTAACAATATAGTCACTACAGTTTATTGACTGGGAAAATATAAAGATCTGTAAAGTCATTTATTCTCTGTAAAGATCTGAAAAGGTGTTTAAAGCAAAATATATTTAATGCTTCATGAAACACAGTGGATTAATTAGTATAACAATACAGTCACTACAGTTTATTGGCTGGCAAAATATGAACCTATGTAAATATTGTATAAGACGTTTATTCTCTGTGAAGAGCTGAAAATAGGTTTAAGTTAATCATGTTTTCCTCAGTGGGGCGGTGGGGTAGCCTAGTGGTTAAAGCGTTGGCTCATCACGCCGAATACCCGGGTTCAATTCCCCACATGGGCACAATGTGTTAAGCCCATTTCTGGTGTCCCCCGCCGTGATATTGCTGGAATATTGCTAAAAGCGGCGTAAAACTAAACTCAGTCAGTCAGTCAGTTTTCCTCAGTGATTCATGTTTGATAAATTCCGAAAATCAAAGGAGTTTTACATTGTATTTGTGCAGGAGTTGGAAAGACATCTTTTATATCTTTTTTAATAATCATACATTTTCTTCATTCCACGAAACTGTAATTTAAAATATTTCTTTTAGCAAGAACTTTTATTTGGGCGAAAAACAAACGAGCAAACTTTAGACTTGAGACAAAACAATTCAGTACTCATGTTCAGATTCTTAGAGGAACTGCATTCAACCATGTACATATTTTTGCAATAATCACCTGTATTTAATCTACAGTTTTTGAGGTCTTTGATGTATGTGTCTTCAAAAAACACATAATTTGAAAACTGAATGTGACTTATCTTATGCATGTCTAGATATGGGCCAGTTTTTATGTTTATTTGGAAGATGTTTTTTGACACTTTTATCAACAACTGAGTTAAGTGACGTTAATCAGTTTGACACATAATATTTTTGTCATGTGATAGATGGGGTCGAGCAAATGTTTATAGTTTACTGCTTACCATGTTACCCACTACTGATCTGAAATATGGTTTACGTTTTCTTTCAAAGTCATGATGTATACACTAATAGAATATAACAAGATGAATATTGGTTATCTCAGATATCAAACACTCTATGTTCAACAATAAGGAACAATATTGGTCTTAGATTCTTGAACTGTCACAGGGGCTAAGGGTGATACGGTTGTCTGACTCAGTTTGCCGTTGCAGAGTTTTGTCCCTTGGGCATACCAGAATCCTATGATTTGAATCCCCATTGATTATATGTCAATGTTTGTCTGCACAAAACCTGTGCGTGTGAGTTTCCTGGGG